TCCCCGTGTTCACACACAGAGACAGCACTAACACTCCCCGTGTTGACAGATACAGCACTAACACTCCCCTTGTTCACAGATACAGCACTAACCCTCCTTGTGTTCACACACCCAGATACAGCGCTAACACTCCCCATGTTCACACACAGATACAGCGCTAACACTCCCCACGTTCACACACAGATACAGCACCAACACTCCCCGTGTTCACACACAGATACAGCACTAACACTCCCTATGTTCACACACAGATACAGCACCAACACTCCCCGTGTTCACAGATACAGCGCCAACACTCCCCGTGTTCACACACACAGACAGCGCCAACACTCCCCGTGTTCACACACAGATACAGCACCAACACTCCCCGTGTTCACACACAGAGACAGCGCCAACACTCCCCATGTTCACACACAGATACAGCACCAACACTCCCCGTGTTCACAAATACAGCGCCAACACTCCCCGTGTTCACACACACAGACAGCGCCAACACTCCCCGTGTTCACACACAGATACAGCACCAACACTCCCCGTGTTCACACACAGATACAGCACTCACACTCCCCGTGTTCACACACAGATACAGCACTAACACTCCCCGTGTTAAAACACAGATACAGCGCTAACACTCCCCGTGTTCACACACAGTGACAGCGCTAACACTCCCCGTGTTCACACACAGACAGCACTAACACTCCCCATGTTCACACACAGATACAGCACTAACACTCCCTGTGTTCACACACAGTGACAGCACTAACACTCCCCGTGTTCACACACAGTGACAGCACTAAAACTCCCCGTGTTCACAGATACAGCGCTAACATTCCCCGTGTTCACACACAGAGACAGCGCAAACACTCCCCGTGTTCACAGAGACAGCGCTAACACTCCCTGTGTTCACACACAGTGACAGCGCTAACACTCCCTGTGTTCACAGAGACAGCGCTGACACTCCCCATGTTCACACAGTAACTTATGGAGCTTTGCCCGAGATGATGCTGATTGTTTTAGGGGTCTGTCTGGACCCTGGCTGGGTCTGATAGTTATACATTTCTTGCAGCGGCAGTGCGTTAGCAGATCGATGCAGAGAAGCAAGTCTCCTTCCTACCTACTGTGGCTCTCCTTAAACTGCCCTCTAATTTGCCCTTCCATTCTATTGTGGACATGAGGACATATAATGTGGTGGTCAGATTCATGTCCTCAGCCTGTCATGTGATTGGTTGGTCACATGTTTAGACCTTCAGGAATTTGTCCATTCAAACCACACAACCCCCCCCACCCACTGCCACCCCCCCACCACCAGTTTCGTTAATGTTTGGTTTCTCACCTCCTGTGTGAGCCATCATGTTGAACTACTCCTGGGGCTCTGACGATCCTTTGCCCACAATCTCGATTCTTCAAGGTTTCCATCTTCTTACATGGGACGACATCATCACTGGCAAGGTCAGCATTTGTGGTCCATCCCTAATTGTCCTTAAGGAGTTAATGTTGAGACACCATCCTGCACCACTGGAGACCGTTCTGTTGTGAATTGGTACAATTCCGTTCGGAGGGCAATTAAAAGTCAACTAAACCGCTGTGTGGCTGGAGTCACACGTCGGCCAGACTAGGTAAAGATGAAAGATTTCCTTCCCTCAAGGACGTGAGTGAACCAATTGGAATTTTATGCAATCAATGACAGCTGAATGAATACCAATGCCTGAGGCTAGTTTTCAATTCCATCCCAGTCCATGTGACCAGAAAAATGGCTCGTGATGTTCAAATATGAGCTGGGTTCAAAGGTCAGAAGTGACACCAGCCTGGTTATGGATTTCTCGCCCTGTGCCTCTGGGCTAATGGTGTCACCGGTCTGCTACCCACTTGGGAGCAGTTGGCCGTGCACTCTGTGAGAGTCAGTTCCAACATGATATGGTACATTCCCATCCCACAGAGCCATCAGGGAAGTGGGTAAATGCCCATTCCACCTCCTCAATGGTTCTCGTTTCATTTACAGTGGCGCTGGTGGAGAGCAGTGCCAACCCTGCAGGTCTTCAGCTGGTCAGCACCTACCAAACCAATCGCATCGGAGATCCTCTCGATATTGTAGCCCTGGCACAGCAAATCCAGAAGGTAGGGATCCTTTCCTCACTTTCAAACCCTCCCTTCCCATCCTAGACAGCTGCTCCTGGAGTCACAAGCATTTTCGTAGTTTCATTTGTTCATCCTAGTGGTTCTTACACTTAGAAGGCCTGTGCCAGAATGTCATCGTGGAGGAGTTTGACACTTCACCTTTCTGCATAGAACCAAAGAATGCAGGAATTAACAAGGAGTATGTTGTTGATAAGTGATGCTAAAGATTACGGTTTAAAACCTCTTCTCTACAACGGCAACCAAAAATTCTGGAGAATTGTGCCAATGGAAGGTTTCTCCTCACAGTTGGAGATGCAGCTGGAGGGGAAGGATTGCAACTGTCGTGGTCGATGTGGGAACTAAAGGCAGAATTAGAACCAAAAATGAGGTTCTGCAGGAGGGAGTTTGAGAGCCCTGGTTCTGAATTAATAAGCAGAAGCTTGTGTATAATAAGGCTGAGAAGGTTAATTACATCAAGTTGAGTGGAGTGAGAGAAAGGGCTTTGATATATGGGGCTTTGGTATGTAGTGACTCATGAGCAAAGTGTTGAGTTGGGACAAGTTCCACTAAAACTAAATTGGAATCATTGCCCTGGTGAATCAAATTACTTGGGCAGGATAAGATTCAAAGTTTGGGGTTTAGAAATCGGAAAAGGAAAGCCAAGGACATAGCGCAACAAATTGGGTAAAGACAAACAGAACGGGATAGAGAGTTTTAACAGTTTTTTTTCCATGGAGTGTAGCAGACTGAGGGGTGACCTAATAGAGGTCTATAAAATCATGACAGGCATAGATAAGACACATAGCCAACAACTTTTCCCCATGGTAAAGAAGTCTAAAACCAGAGGGCATAGGTTAAAGGTGAGAGGGGAGAGATACAAAAGGGTCCAGGGAGGGGCAATTTTTTCACACAGAGGGTATTGAACATCTGGAACAGGCTGCCAGAGATACTGGTGGGGGCAAGTACAATTTTGTCAATTAAGAAACATTTGGAAAGGTAGATGAATGGGACAGGTATGGAGGGATATGGAACAAACGCAGGCAAATGGGACTAGCTTAATTGTGAAAACTGGACGACATGGACATGTTGGGCCGAAGGGCCTGTTCCATGCTGTAAATCTGTAAGACTCTATGGTTATAGAGTATCAGCACCCAAGCAGGAAACAATGGTTAAAAATAAATCAAGTTCTTTATGTGAATGTACCAAAAACTGGGAGCAAGACAGACAATTGCAAAAGTAAAATCCATTCACTCTGAGGCTCAAATTGGAAAAATTATAATGGGGGAAAGAAGAAAATGGCAGATGACATTAAACAATAATAGGCACAACAACTGGACCAAAAGTGGTATGGAGCCACAGTCTAATGAGACTGAGGAACTTATTACTGTCATCGAAAAGTATGAGAAAAACTATTGGGATTAACATCAGGAAATCCCTCTGGCCAGAGAACAGACATTGTACGTGTGAAAAGAAGCAGCTGTAAAAGATTGTAAAATGTGCTGGTTATTGTCCTGAAACAATTTCTGGAGTCTACCCTCCACCCCCAGATTTGAAGTCAGCAAAAAGCAACACTTACTTAAGAGAGGGAAGAAGAAAACAAGGAATTACTGGCCAGTTACCCTGACATCAGTCAATGGGGACATATTGGTGTAATGATTGTAACGAGGTTAGCCAAGTGGATCCATAGAATCTGAGATAACAAGGTGTAGAGCTGGATGAACACAGCAGGACAAGCAGCATCATAGGAGCAGGAAGGCTGACGTTTCGGGCCTAGACCCTTCATCAGCTCTACACCTTGCTATCTCAGATTCTTCAGCATCTGCAGTTCCTACTATCTCTGATACAATTTTAACCTGCTGTGTTCATACAGCTCTACACCTTGTTATCTCAGATTCTCCAGCATCTGCAGTTCCTACTATCTCCATAGAATATGAGTTCCCTGATTGGGGCTGTTAGCCTGGTCTAATCAGGGAGCCCTGGCTGACAGATAACAATAGGAGTTCTGCTCACTGTAGGAACCAGCTCTGAGCGAGCTGGGTCAGTGTCATGGCCTATGCATGCCTAAATAAAGGGTGACTTGGTGATAGGATACTGGCCTTTGTGAAGTTATTTCAATTGGAATCTATTATTATCGAGATGTTTACAAAATGCTCAGGACATCTCAAAGTGATCAGAATCATCTTGACATTACAAAAGAGAAATCTTACTCATGTTGGGGATGGAACCAGTAGGGCAGATGAGGGGGAACCTATAGATGTAGGTTTTCATCTTGGATTTCCAAAAGGCATTCAATAAAGTCAACATGTCAAAAGGAAATCATATTGGACAAATGTGGTAGAGTTTGTTGAAGATTTAATAACAGTGTTTGGAAAGAAGACCCATTAGATGTAGCATATTTGGATTTCAAGAAGGCTTTGGCCACATAAAAGGTTATTGTACAAGTTAAGAGCTCACAGATTGGAGGTAATGTATTGGCATGGATTGACACATTGGTTAACACACAGGAGACAAAGAATTGGGATTGATAGGTCTTTTTCAGGTTGCAAAAACACGGCTAATGGAATACCACAAGTATCAGTCCCAGGGTCTCAATTATTTCTGATTTATATTAATGACTTGGAGAAAGGGACAGAGTGTAACGTATCCAAATTTGCTTATGATACAAAAATAGGAAGGAGAGCATATATTAAGGAATCAGCATGGGGACATTGACAGGTTGAGTGAGTGTAAAACTTGGTGGATGAAGTTTAATGCTGGAAAATATGAGGTCATGGATCTTGGTAGAAAGTATTTTCAAAGTGATTATTACTTCAACAGAGAGAAGCTCCAAAAGTGTGCAGTGCGAATGGAACTGGGTGTTCTTGCACATGAAACATTAAATGTTAGCATGCAAGTTCAGCAAGTAATTAAAGAGGGAAAAGGAATTTTGGTCTTTAACCGCAGGTGGTTAGAGTTCAAAATAGGGAAGCTTTGTTATAACTGCGTAAGGTGTTAGTGAGGATGCACCTGGAGTACTGTGTATACTTTTGGTCCCTGCATTTAGGAAAACACCGGCATTGAAGGCAGATTTGGGATGCTTGGGATCACCACAACTTGTGGGCTCCCATCTAGGCCACACGCCATTTTGACTCGGAACTATGTTGGCTGTTCCTTCGCAGTCGCTGGAACAGGATCCTTGAACTTCTTTCCTGGGGCTCCACGGGTGTCCCTGCGATACACAGATTGCAGCGGTTCGAGAAGGCAGCTCACCACCACCTTCTCAGGGGGAGGCTGGGTACGGGCAATAAATGCTGAGCCAGCTAGCGATGCCCACATCCTGTGGAAGAACAAGAAACAGAATCACCACACTGTCCAGGGTTCAGGAAGAAGCACTGTCACGCAAACAGGCATGAGAATCTAGAACTCTCTGACCCCAAAACCTCTCAAGGATGTGGGAGGGAAGAGAGGGAGAGAGGTTAAATTGTAATTTCAAGACTGAGATCAGCAGGTTTTTGTTAGGACATAGGTATTATTATGGAAACAAAGTGATTAGCTAGGATTAATATCCACATCAATCATGTTCTCTGTGAGTACCAGAACAAGCTCGAGGGAAAAGTGACCTATTCCTCCGTTTCACACAGTATTCATCAGCAAGTCAGACTATACCTGTATTGGAAGGATTAATTTATAAGGAGAGGCTGCATAGGCAGGGACTTTTCTTCCTGGAGCATCAGAGACTGAGGGGTGTCCTTATAGAGGTCTATAAAATCATGAGAGGCATAGATAAGGTAGATAGCCAATAGCTTTTCCCCTTGGTAGGGGAATCTAAAACTAGAGGGCATAGGTTTAAGGTGAGAGGGGTCCAGAGGAGCAAATTTTTTTTGACACAAGAGGGTATTGAGTGTTTAGAATGGGCTGCCAGAGGCAGTGGTGGAGGCAAGTATAAGTTTATCATTTAAGAAACATTTGGACAGGCACATGGATGGGATAGGTATGGAGGGATATGGACCAAACGCAGGCAAATGGGACTAGATTAACTGCAAAAACTGGGCGGTATGGACAGATTGGACCAAAGGGCCTATTTCCATGCCGTAAACCTCTATGACTCTATGATGCTATTTACTAGGCTGATTCCTGGGATGAAGAGGCTTTACTTATTAAGAATGGATAGACAGGCTAGACCTGTATTTACCAGAGTTTAAAGAATGAAAGGCGATCTTACTGAAACATACAAGATTCTGAGAGGGCTTGACAGTGTAGATGTTGAAAACATGTTTCCACTAGAGGGAGAATCTCAAACTGGGGACACAGTTTCTTTCTGTTGTTGATTGAGAGGTAAATAATCATCAGGTACTTCACAAAACCACAAAATTGTTCCACAGGAGGCCATTCAGTCCATCGTGTTTATACCTGTACTTGGAGAAACTCCCCTGCTCTGTATCAAAATAGTGTCATGCAATTTTTTAGAACACCCAAATAAGTAGATTGAGTGTCAGTTTAATACCTCCCCTGAAGTTCAGCATCTCTGATAGTGTGGCACTCCATCAGTACCACACTGGAGGGTTGTTATGCAGAAGTGGGACTAGAATCTGGAATTTAATGATAGAGAGGACAGAGTGCTACCAACTGAACCACAGCGGAGACAAAGTGTATGGAAAAGTTGGTGGTTATGGATCAAAACAAAAGAAAACAGGGCAGTATGCTGGGATGGCTAGATGTACTCTGAGGGGACTTGTAGAGTATGATGTATAGATGTGTGTCAGTCATCACTGAGGGAGAGCGGGTGAACGTCAAGATTATTATCTTCCGTGTTCTTTCTTGCCTCTTTTCACCAGCAGGGGGTTAAAAGTGATAGCGAGAGGTGTGTCTGGCCGAGTTAAGGGCCAACTCTCTGCCCTTTCCCTGCATATCGACAGTCGGGTGTTTTTTTTTAAACTAGCTGGGCTGATACATTTCAGAAGAATGTCTCTGGCTGTTAGTGTGATGATGCACTGCTTGCTTTCTGAGAACTTAGAGGCGTT